TCGGGGGGTGGGGGGGGGGGACTTGCGGGGAGCCTCTCCGCCGCGTGATTTAAAAAAAAAATAAATAAAATAAATAAACCGTCTGGGGTTGTCCTTCAGGGCCGTAAATACCTGCCGGAGGGCAGAGAGCTGCTGACAGACGCCTCCTGCTGAGGAGGAGGAGGAGGAGGAGGAGAGAGCTGGGACACCGAGGGCGCCGTCCTCCCTGTGTCCCCCCTCACACGCCGCCGCCGGAGGTGGATTTCCTCAGGAGCCGGAGCCCCAAGAGCAGGAACGGACCGACACCCCCCCCACCCCACCCGCCCCGTTTCCCTCCCTCCTTCTTCTTTCCCGGAGCGGCCTTTCAAGTCGTGACCCGAAGGGGAAACTCGCCATGGCGAGCGAAGGCAAACAAGTTGTGCAGCCAACAGGTGATGATGGAGGAGGAGGAGGAGGAGGAGCGGGGAAAGAAGGCAACGCCGCTGAAGGGGGGAACGTGCTGCAGCCCCTGAACCCCGGGGTCGTCATCCGAGGCATCAAGATGAAATTTGCGGTGCTGACGGGGCTGGTGGAAGTTGGGAAAGTGTCCAACAGAGACATCGTCGACACTGTGTTTGATCTGGTAAGTTGGTTCCCCTCCTGGGGGTGAGAGAAGAGAGCAGCGTACACGTGCAGAAGCATCCCATGCTTTCTCTGGTGTTATTTTCCTGTCAATATTTCTTTTTTTTGGCGTGCTTACGCTTTCACCACGCTACATTGCCTTGTGCTTATGGATCACAGAAGCTGCAAATACAGCATTTGGGCTTGAAATAACTCTAAAAAGCATCCTCCTGGGTTTGCCTCAGAGAAATTGTTGCTTTATGTAGAACTGGAGTGGATTGTTACGTTTAAACATTCAACAGGTCTACCCAACAAGAAAGTTAAATGCTGATTTAGTAACTCAAACTGTCACCAAAACACACACTTTGTTGTTTTGAGCCAAAACAACTTTTCCCATGAAGATTTTCACGTTCCTTTTTTGCTTACCTTTGCTTTGGAACTTCCATGTTCTGTCTATGGGGAGTGGGGTTGTCAGGGAGCGGTTTGTTAAAATGCTTTACTTGGCTTATTGGGAAGAGCAGAATGTGGTTTCAGTGTCCTTTTTTTTTTTATTAATGAATTAGGTAGTCAGCTGCTATTTTTTGAATACAGTATGGATATAATTCATACTTCATAACAGATCTTACTAAAAATTGAGGGTGCAACTTCTCCTGCTGAAGCTGCAAACGTAATATATACCACTGAACTTCTTGGGCCACATTTAGAAGAATTAGCCTAGTTGTTCATGTTTGGTTGCTGAAGGGGACCAAACGTAAGGAGAGAGACTGTCTCGAAGTTTACAAAGATACTCTGCTATTATCAGAGTTCTCAAAACATCGCTAAAAATACTCATCGTTCTTCCTCCTTCGTTTTAGTGAGCACCTTTGACTTTAAAACGGTGTGGTTTCTGACAAACCAGGAAGTAAGAACGTGCAATAGTATAAAGCTCGGTAACAAGGAAAGTTGCTGCAAAAGGCATACTTTTTTTTAAATGCTATTTGCTTTTCTGTTGTTTTGTTAGTAGTATTCTTTACTAAGTGCAAGTTTAGGTGGTCACTAAGTATTTATGTGTGCTGTGCCTGTTTAAAAATTTTTTGATGTTATCTTCTTGGGTTATGATAAACGTTTATTTTTTGAAATGTTTTTGTGTTAACAGAATGTAATGTTCTAAATTGTTTGGATGAAAGTGTCTATACAGAGGAATTGCAGTACTGGCAAACAGAAGTACAGATCAGAGATTTCATGGATGCTTCAAGTACGAGAAAGTTGTTTCAGTTACTTAGAGTCCACTTGACAAAACCTGGTGCTCAGATGCATGGACATGAGGTTCAAAAGGAAATTCTGGTAAATAGTTTACGATGTAGGACACTTGTGTGAAGGCAAATTGTTCATAAGTGTGTTAGATTCTACTTTGTGCCTAGCATGGTCTTTTGAGTGGTGTACGGGAGCAGTGTTTTATGGCAGCAGTGGGAAGAGGTTCAGCGGAATAATTAAAAATGTAAAAGCTCCTTGATCCTGGGATTCCTTTTCTGCTCCATTTTGGACAAGAAAGGAACAAAACATTCAGCTTGATTCAGAGAATGTTCGACTTAAGAGATCTGGAGAATTTGACCAGTGAACTGCATTCTCCTGGATCTTCGTTTCCCGAGTAGAAGCAGGGGAGAGATTCTGGCCTTGGAAACTTTTGAGACTGTATTTTCACTTTTTTCTGCAAGTGAAACAACATCCTGGACCTCTCCAGGAGGATTCCCCAACCATTCCTGCACACCTGCCTACGCTGCAGGAGGCTAAAACTCATGCTCTTACACCACGTTATTTTATCAGAGCAGAAGCAGTCACTTGATAGCTATCATGAAACAACCAGTAGTTAGGTAGTAAGTACACTTTACCTGGGTCATGTGAGAACAAAATCCAGATTTTTTGGCAATATCAAAAAAAAAGTAGATCCCTTGGTTTCTCGAGTCCCAGGAAAACATATCAACTACTGGGGACTAATTTGGAAGGAGAAGGTGGCTCCAT